TGCGGACCACACGAGTGCAACCCTCTCCGTGGTTCATTTGCACGTGTGTGCGCATGTGCGTGCGTGTGCGTGTACACGTACGCGCGTGTATGTGTGCGCGTGTACACGTGCGCACGTGTGTGTGCACGCGTGCGAGTGTTTTCCCGTGCTAGCGATCGTCTTCACGTCGGTTCGCACCGGAGGGATTATAGCGCTGTCACTTACAGCTGTCACCTGACTCCGCTCCCTGCCCCGTTCCCGCGGCGACAGACAACCTCCGACCCCTGGCACCTGCCCACTGCCCGTCACCGCGGGGCCAGCAGATGGAGGCGACACGCGAGCGGCGCTCGTTACCACTAAAACTTGGCCGCGACTCGTCACCGAGTTCGCTAAAAATAACCGCGCTCTCGCTAAAAGTCACCAAACGCAAAGACGAGCTGTCATTGATGGAGACGGGCGTACGTCTGCTGCATCTGTCATGCGTTAAACCAAAACAAAAAAAAACTTTTTGCGGGAATAAAAATATATTTATTTTGGCTTTTTTTGCGCTTGTTTGCTTACTTCAGTTGTGTTTTTTTAGAAACTTTTTCTGGGATGAAAAAACATTCTGATGAAACTTGACGGCCGATGCGGTTTTTTTTTTTTACGGCTTGGTAGTGGGCAGGCGGGCGGTGGGAGGGGGGGGGGTTCGCGTGGACAGTTGCCGGGAATAAACACATTGGGCAGCTCTACGCAGCGGCCAGATGGTAGGTCCTGGCTATGGCCCCCGAACCCACGTTCGGCGATTGAACGTAACTGACTGGCGGCTGCACCGAGCCGCGGACGCGGTGCAGCGTTAGCACGAGAGGTGGAACACAAAAGGTGCGTCCCGAACCCTGCGAGTTGGAATGGAGCGAGTGAGCGAGGGAGGGAGAGGGAGCAAGCGAGGAGGCAACGGTGTGCCCAGAGGTCTATCACACAGTAACTGAGCACGGCGAATGCGACTTTATTTTGCGGAGGGAACTGCCAGGGGGTCAGGCTGGGAAGAGGCACCACGCTCCCTCGTGCATTTTTGATCGCTCGGACCCATCAGAGTGCGGAGCGCACGGGTAAGCGGGCGGACGGACGAACGAACGTTGCGTGTGTGCCCTGCTCAAGCCAGACACGGTCCTCTCGTGAAGAAGAGATTTTGATCTCGATGGGCTTTTTCCTTGCTCATGAAGGTCATCTATCTGTCTCTCCGTCTGTCTGTCTGTCTCTGCGTCCAGTCTAGCTTTGCCTCTGTGTGTCTCCTGGAAGAGACGCTTTAAGCTACGGTCAATTTCTGCTGGGCAGAGGGCACCCGTTCTGAAGCCGGCGTTGGTCTCTCTTCAAGTTTGACCGTTCGTCGGCTTTGCTGGGGCGAGCACTTTAGTGGGCGCCGTGTGGTGTTTCTGACCGAATGCTGCGAGTGGCTTGAGTCTGGCTTAGGCGTCCAAGTTAACCGGGAATGGTTCCTGTAGATGCAACCGGAACAAACGGACTGGCCGGGAGGCAGGCAGGCACGCTGGTGGGTGGTTATACAGAGAGAAGGGCGGACAGGCGGAAACAGAGAGTCAGGATAAGCAGGTAGGCAGGTGCGTAGATATACACACACACACAGCCAGATGTACAGACAGGCAGACGAGCAGGTAGGCGGTTAACTATACAGATAGATAGGCAGCCTGATAGACATGCAGACAGGCGGATATACAAGTAGGTAGGCAGCTAGATAGGAAAATAAAAATCGGGCTGACAGGCAGAGAGGCAGGCAGGTAAGGGGTTAGCGGACAGACAGGCACACGGGCGAAGAGCCAGCCAGAGTTGAAGGTCACGTACGGGGGCGTGGCGTACAGAGATGACCACGAGGGGAAGACGGCGTGAGCTTCAGGCGGGAGTCCCTGGCAGCTGGCGCGGCCCCTCTCTACCAGCTGACCAGGCCGGTGACACCAGAGGGGTGAGGGGACGTGGGAGATAAAAAGAACTGCAGCGACGCGCCACTTCCAGCCGCAGACGTAACACACGTGGGACGTGCGCCCACTCGGCTCGGCCAGCTCTCCCCAGGGCTGCCATCCCTGTGGAGAGTCCCACCAAAGGGCTCGTGGGTTTTTTTTCCTAGAGATATTGCTTTGGTTTCTCACGATGCGATGTTAAAGTTCACGATAACGGGGATGGACTATCTGCGATTTGCGTTTCCCTTCAGCCCTCGCAATTGGATTTTACATTTTCATCGTCTTTGCTTTATTGCTTCAATGTACCTCCGCTACAGGTGAAGTTCTCCGGCTGCAGTTCGCTCGACACACAAGCCTGCGCCATGAATATTGCACTTGTCGTGACTTCACAAGCTACGACACCCACGGCTCACGCGCCATCAGGGAATGATGGCGTCATATAACCACCACATCCATCAATTAATCCAGCAAACTCTGTCCCAAAGCGCTAATTTAATTGCGCTTCTGAAGTTGAATTATTGTTACTTAACAAGATGGGTAAAAAAATCTGTAACTGTCGATGAAATTCAATATTTTTGAAATTTGAATGGGCGACACCGATCACGAGTTGACACGTTTGCTGTATATGCGTGTGTTGGGTGACAGCCTGGACACCCTTGCAAACATTCAATCGCAACGGATTCCCCGGGTACTCCTCTCGTCTTGTGCACGCTGGCAGCAAGCGGCACCGACGTGATTCGGGAGCTCGATGCCAATGTCGAGTGCTGCTGCTCGTCACGACGAGAGGACTTCAGCAGAGAGAGAGAGTTCGTGTGACCACTCCTTCTCGGTTGAAGGAACGCAGAGCACAGAGTGTTTACTGTGCTGGTTTGCATGGCCACAGTCGCACTACTAATGTATTTTTTCTTCTTGGTTCTTTCGGTAAAGTCACGTAGAAGGGAAATAATAAAATAATAAAAATAAAACATAAAATACAATTCTCACGACGATTCGGCCACAACGCAAGCAGCCGTCCTCAGGTGAAGAACAGGGCTGTCGGAAAGACAGACTTCAGACGCTGTCTCCACGGGGGGAATCCCCTCCTCCCATCATCGCGCCTTTTCCCAATGTATGCACAACTTTGCTCAATCTAAGTGATGTATTGACTCACAACACTGACATCTTCAAGAGTGCCGTTTGTTGATAGTTTTTTGGCGATTTTGGGGGGTTGGGCCCGTGCTCAACAAATCGTAACAACAACAATAATAAGTAGTATTATTACCATCGTAATAATTCGTCACGAGGACACCAGGAGAAAAATTCCAAATTGTCTCCGCCGCGAAGAGAGTAAAAGTGTGATTGCAATCACGCCCAGCGCCGTGGTTTTCATGCAACGATAATTAGGACGACGATTGAAAGCTTACAAAAAAAGAACATGTCGTTTAAAAATAAACCGGAGAAAAACGTTCAACAACAACGAGGGACCATCAGCCCGCGCTCATCTCTTCCCGATTCTGCAGGTCCCCGCCAGCGCGTGGGAGTTGTGGCGTGGGTCACGTGCAGCATCTGCGTGACCCGTGACCCCTGTCCGTAGATCACTGGGCAGAGAGAGAGAGCGGGAGGGGAGCTGGAGGAGGTTAGGTGGGGGGTGACAGGTTTGGGGAGGAGTAGGGGGGCAGGGTTGGGGAGGGGGGGGGCATGACATGTGCAGGTCCTTTAAACCTTTAAATTAGATTTGTCAGAAATGAAATAAAGCGGATGTTAAAATGCTGAACCACTGGCGCCATCGCTACGCTGCCTGTAAAAGTTCAGTGTCAGGACGGATGAGGACCGGCGTGCGAGTGTTTGTACGCATGTGCGAGTGTGTGTACGCGTGTGCGAGTGTGTGTACGCGTGCGTACGTATGTACGTTGAACTTCTTTGGCACCGTACGTAGCCAACCGTGCTAATCAGAGGTGCGGGTGTGTCTGTGTGTGGGGAGCGGTAGTGTAGCGGTTAGCGCGCTGCGCCATAAACCCCGCAACGCCAGTGACAATTATCTGAATCGGTCCTGGACCTCCCCGAGGTCTACTCAGCCTAGGATGAGTATCTGGTGTGGTGTATAAAGATTGCCACTGGGAGACAATGGTGGCCGGGCATGATGCTGGTCACCCCCACCCCCTTGCCGGCCTTCATAGGTGGTCGCTAACAGCACCTCTTAGGTTTTTTCGGTAAAGTCACGTAGGTAATAAAATATAAAAAATAAAAATACAAATTCTAGAAATAATAATAGAAATTATTTTATTCTATTATTATTTCTATTTTGTTGTATTATTATTTATTTTTACCTACGTGACTTTATCCGAAAAAAACCCTAAGAGTATGAATCCTTGCAGTCACGAAAGCTTCAAATCTAGCACCTGCCTCAACAGCCTGTTAAAGGCTACATGGGTGATTTTAGCCTTTGTGTGTAATCAGGCCAAAACCTTCTCGCCTACGAACATCTGCGCCGCTATCTGGGGTTTGTTTTTTTCCCTACTGTCATTTTTTCCAGTGTTCTATTAAATTGCTAAATGTACCCTATAATGCGCGAGCAAATTAGTTGATTAATGGTGCTGGCGTGATGATAAGCGGCGTGTATTTCATTTCATTTTTTTTTGTTTGAAACCCGTCGTCATAAAACAACAACAACAACAACAAAAAGCTGCCAAGCTTCGGACAGGAATTTTACATGCCAGAGTTATATTCTTTAATTTCAGTGTCCAGAGGACTGTCAGATATCAAAGCAAGCTGTTAGGAGCTGTCCCGGCTGGAGCTGGGAGGCGCAGGAGGTTCCAAGATAATTGGTTCTGCTGTCTGCTTTCATTTTAAGGGCGGGGAAGCAACCCACGCGCCCTTGCTTTGCTCATTTTCCAGCAGTCTCTTCCCATTTACTTTTGTTTGCTGAGTGTCCGCGTGGAGCCGGCGAGCCCTTGGCTTATTTTGTAACCTCGCTGTCCATCTCGCGCGCCCGCTAATTGTTACACGCGTGCACGTACCAAACCCCCCCCCCCACTCCTCTGCCCCCCACCCACACCCCGCCCCTCCGCCGCCCCCCGCCCTCCTCCCCACCAGGTTCGTGATTGCGTCTCTGGACCGCTCGCACGCCGGGTTCTACCAGTGCGTCGTCCGGAACCGCGTCGGCGCCCTGCTGCAACGGAAGACGGAGATCCGCGTGGCTTGTGAGCGCCGCGCACGGGTTGCACGCTCACACGCTTACACGCACCTACACACACTCGCATGCTTACAGGCACATACACACGCTCACATGCTCACACGCACCTACACACACTCGCATGCACACACGCTCACATGCACCTACACACGCTCACACGCACCTACACACGCTCACACGCGCACACGCTTACACGCACCTACACACGCTCACACGCACCTACACACGCTCACACGCACCTACACACGCTCACACGCACCTACACACGCTCACACGCACTTACACACGCTCACACGCACCTACACACGCTCACACGCACATACACACACACGCGCAGACACGCACGCTCACATGCACACACACACACACGCACCTACACACGCTCACACACACCTACACACGCTCACACGCACCTACACACGCTCACACACACCTACACACGCTCACACGCACCTACACACGCTCACACGCACCTACACACGCTCGCATGCTCACACGCTCACACGCACCTACACACACTCACACGCACCTACACACGCTCGCATGCTCACACGCTCACACGCACCTACACACGCTCACATGCACCTACATACGCTCGCATGCTCACACGCTCACACGCACCTACACACGCTCACACGCACCTACACACGCTCGCATGCTCACACGCTCACACGCACCTACACACACACGCACCTACACACGCTCGCATGCTCACACGCTCACACGCACCTACACACGCTCACATGCACCTACACACGCTCGCATGCTCACACGCTCACACGCACATACACACACACGCGCAGACACGCACGCTCACATGCACACACGCACACACGCGCAGAAAACGCTCGCATGCTCACGCGCACGTGTGCACGACGTTAAAGACAAAGTTCCCCCGTGTAGCCCTTCACCAGGCTGTTGAGGCGAGTGCGGTTTAGCGAGCGCCTGTGAAGGCCAGGGCGGCGCACGAGGTGGCGGCATGGACAGCCCCGCCCCGGTCGCCTTTGTCTCCCCAGCGTTGATGTTTACTCACCGCGTGAAACTCATTCAAGGCTGAGCAGCCCTAGGAGAGGCCCAGGACTGGTTCAGATATATCACTCGCCACCATTGCTTAGCTGAGGCTGGGAAAGTCAGTTTACCGGGTTCTTAGCGCAGCGTGTTAACCACTATGCCACCACTCCACGAACGTAACCTGGTCAATGACCTGGAAAAAAATGCCTTGCACCCGGCACACCACATCCAGTTATAGCTCTCACTATGACTATAGCTACCGCTCACGTGTGCATTCTACCAGCAACGCGGAGATGTTTTGGCGAGAAATTAAACCCTGGCTTAAACGTTGCATCCAACCACACGCTGCCCTGCAATTAGGGCTGCTCGATTTGCACTGTGCGGGGGTCGGGAGGGGCGCTATGAATATTAAAACGATGATGACGATGGGGGGATCGGGGGGGGGGGGGTATTGAAAAATCGAAGTGTCACGCCGCACAGTGGAAACGTCGTGTTACGCGTGGGATCCTGCGTGGGAGAGCATGAACAACAAAATGGGAGATACGTTTTCTCGTAAGCGATCCCTCGATGTGCCATGCCGCACCCCCCCCCCCCCCCCCCAGCGTCTTCGGGGAAGCGCTGACCGCAAGTAGCGAGAACCTACAAACGGCAGCTGCCCACTCGGCATGGTTCCATTCCGATTTAAAGCTTTCGTGACTGCAGGGATTCATCTTCTTGGTTCTTTCGGTAAAGTCACGTAGAAGGGAAATAATAAAATAATAAAAATAAAACATAATACAATTATTAAAAACACTATGATAAAATAGGAAAAATAAAACATAAAAACATTATTTTATTATGTTTTATTTTTATTATTGTATTATTTCTCTTCTACGTGACTTTACCGAAAGAACCAAGAAGATGGTTCCATTCATCAGCGTTGTGCGGTGTCCCTCTCCCGCTGCCCTCGTTCTCCCTGCCTCCTCGGACGTTCTCTCTCATCTTTTCACTCTCTCTCGCTCTCTCATCTCCCTCGCTCTCTCCCGCTGCCTCCCGTCCCCCCTCCCTCGTGCGTGGCAGACATGGGGAACTTTGTCGAGGGCGAGCAGAAGCTGTCATTGCCGCAGGGGCAGGCGGCGGCACTCGTGCCCCCAGCCATCACCGGGTACCCCTCCCCTCAGGTCACGTGGTTCAGAGAGGGACGCAAGATATCGCCTTCCCCGCGCATGTACGTACGCACGCACGCCGCACGCATGCACGCGACGTTTCCGAGCACCTATTAAGGCCGGCACGGCGCACGACACGGCGGTGTGGGCAGCACCGCACCCGGTCCCCTTTGTCTCCCCAAGCGCCGACGTTGACGCACTGCGCCGGGTGCTTATTTAAGGCCGAGACAATCTGGGATCGACGCGTCGATGCTCCGCCTGGGGTGGGCACCGGGGCGCGCAGCGTGTGCGGACGAGCGATAGCCAAGCCCCGTGGCGTTCAAACGCCGACAGCGCGGGAAGTTCTCACGAGCTACGGCTTCGCGAAAGTGCCTCGCGCGCCGTATATTAAGTTGGCAGAAAATACATGCTGACTTTGTTATATTGTCACGCGGAGAGAGGGCAGCGTTTTATTTAAAGCGCTGCAGAGTTTCCTTGAACTTTCTGCTGATTGCATTTGAAAAGAGCATATGATTTGTCATTGTCATTGATAATGGGAAACGCCGAAGATAAGGCAATCTCTCACGGCAAGGGCGGTGGTTTTGTGTATCTCATCGGATGCTTTATTCCAATTTAATGCCGGCTAATCAAGCCGAAGAAAGGCGCGCGCCTGATGAACACTCTTACAATATGATTAAACCTCCATGTGCCTCGAATCAAAAGCCATCTCGTGCGACGAATAAATAATTTAATAAATAAACACCGGCAAACGAAAACACTGCCGCCTATTCATCAGGAAGGCCCAACGCTGCGCAGATTATTTTCAAGTAGGCCGCCGAAACAATTTGTGCCTCGTGGATAATAATAATTGCCACCAGCTCTCCACTCTCCGCCAGTGTGAGGGGAGAAAGGATCATCACGATCATTCAGCACAACGGGAAAAGTTGCGGAGGTTTATCATGGCCTTGTTGTTGCTAAGGCTGTTGTTGCTCCTTTTGTCGTTGCTTCATAGCAGCAATGCATCCCAGCGGCAGCGCAGTTGCCGCTCCTCGTAAGAAGTTTGCGGTTCGAGCCCAGCGGCCGTCCCAGTTAACGCCGCGGGTGGTGCATTAACCGTGGAATTACTACGTACCGTCTACTCCACGGCGGTCGTTTAAGATCCCGTGGTGCCGTTCGAGAAAGAGTAGGCCACGGGTGCCATTGTTACAGTCCGGATCCGATCAATTACTCCCAAATTCCTCAATTGGGAAAACCACATCGCAACATCGTCCGCTCGCGGCAGACTAATGTTCACTTGCTGACCATTGCTGCGTACGCCTTGTGTCACGTGGAGAGAGCTGCTGCTGGGGGTCCCCTTTGGCAAGATTGCCGTAGGGCTACTCGGGATGTACAACATGGGGAGGGAGCGGTATCAATATTAAGCGACGGTAACGGATTCACTCTGACCACGACCCCTGACCATCGCGTCTCTCCGGCAGTGCGGTCACGACGGAGAACTGGCTGGTGGTGCTGGCGAGTGCCTCGTCGGACGGGGGGCGCTACTTCGTGCAGGCCGTCAACGAGAAGAATGGCGAGAACAAGACCAGCGGAGCCGTCACGCTCGCCGTCGAGAGTGAGTGGCCCTGTCACTCACGCCATTAACCTGTGCGTTCATTTGCGAGGGCGGTGACCGTCCGCGGAAACTCCACAGCGCGTGTTTTCGCTGCACAGCTCTTCCCGTGCATGTTCAGGCCGTGCCGTGTGTTGTTCCACGTGCCGGGAGCTTCTTCAGGAACTCTTCCTGGAACTGTGTCTGCAACTGTTCCTGGAACTGCTCCTGGAACCGTGCCTGGAACTGTTCCTGGAACTCTTCCTGGAACTGTTCCGAAACGCGTGCCATTCGGCACGTAATCCAAAGTTTGTCATCATGTTCCTTCTCTCAGTCTGAAGTCACCCTGAACAACTCGTGGTGCGACGCGGGAACTCGTTGGGGTGCTGTGTGAGAAATCGTGGAAATAATCGGCCCAGTTTAAGCGATGGCGCAAAGGCTGTTCACGTTAATATTAATGGCAGAAACGTGGCAAATTTGCCAGAATATTTCCTGCCGCTTTGGCGATGTTCTACCTGTCGACAGTAGCCGCCGCCGCCTTTTCTGCCCGAGCGTGAAGTTGGCTCCCTCCTGTTGCAGCCCTGAACACAGCACAGAGGCAGACTGCCGTGGAGTGAGCAGGAATAGATTGATAGGGTGATTCATTTATCGATACCCCATTGATTTCTAATGACGCTGTTACCTTCGTCGCAACGAACGGCTGATTGAATATATTGTGAAAGCGATGGCTCCGTGTCTTGCACAGAGGCGGGGGAGGTGTTAACGTGTCCCAGGACAAGCGTGACAAGACGCAACAAGTGTATTGGGATTGGTGGGGGACACGTAGAGGCTTTGAATTAACGTGTTATTTTTTGTTATATAATGTATCCCTTTTACATTAGTGGGGTGTCAATAAACAGATCACTCTGTATTATCAATGTTCACCTGTGCGCGCGTACGCACGTCGACCGGAGTTTTGCAGAGAGCTGGTGTGGCGCCCGCACGTGTGTGATTGAGTCCGTGTCACGTGAGCGGAAATTAGAAATGCGCTGTGCATTGATTCCCGTTGAGAGCCAAGTGGTGAGTCAGTGTCTCGCTGTCGTGAGCTCTGTGCCTCCCTGGCCCAATTTAAACCCACAGCTAGAGCCCTCCTGGCATCAAACACATGCCCTGAATGTGAGCCACGGGGAGCTTTAATTTGGCGAAATGTTGAACTACTTATTTACGAAAAAAAAGTGCATGTAGATTACATTCGCTTTCCGCTCACCCCCCCCCAATCTCTCTCTGCATTTGTAAAACATCCTTTGCACATGCCCTCCCTGAACGCGCAGCACTAGTAGATTGGAGGATCCTTATTTCGGGCAGGTCCATTGTGCGACGCTTCTCGTTGGCGGAATCGCACGTCCGGCGAAATGCGAATGCATCGTGGTTTGAGAAACGGCCAAGCGGGAGGCTGGGAGCGGAGGGGTTGGGCGGCGGGCTACGCTGCTGCGCCGATGCTGGAATTCGGGCCAGGGCCCTGGCGGGAGCGTACCTGCTCTTTGTGAAAGGGCACCGTGGGCGTCCGCGGACTCGCCAGAGTGGACGCGGCTCGGGTTGAACGGCCCGCGTAAAGGGCAGGCCCTCCCGCGGCACGGCGGCCCGCAGGCGCCACTTTGCTCCGTTGCCCGGGATCCAGTGGGCGGGCAGCGCCGCCGGTAACGCACCACGGTGGCTAGGAGATGTTAACTACCTCGCCTGGTATGCAGGAGGTTGCGGGTTCAATCCCAAACCTGACGCCTACTGCTGTATATTTGGAGTTTGCGTGTCTCTCTTCCCGTGGTCGCGTGGATTTTTCCCCGAGTCGTACGGTTTTTCCCTCCACGTTTAGAATCAACGTCACGCGTTGAGAGTATTTGGCTGCTGCTATACATTTCCACTCGTTTATAAGCCACTTTCGTTGAGCTATCATTTGTGGCCAGGTCGCTTCTGAAAAATAGCTGTACGTTGCTCAGTGGGCCTTGCCTGGTCAAATAAAAAATAGTTGTTAGTTAAATGCTGAGCGGGCCATGACCCAGCCGGGTGAACGTCGGAGGGCTCTGTGGACCTCGGCTTTGATTGAGCGCTCCTCGGTAACGGGGTCACCGTGGTTCGTCCTGTCGGTGCTTTTGACGTTCAAACGGCAGATGTGAATTTTTGTTTTGTTTCTGGTTTATAGCGGATTCTTGTGCGTGCTTTCATTCTTTGTCTCGTTCAAAGTCAGGGCTCTGAACTCGCAATTTACGAGTTTGCTGAAGAGTGAAATTAAATGAAAAGAGCTGCAATTTTTTTTTTTCACGGCACGCATCTAAACTTTTAATCGAACCTTCACTTTCAGGCACAAATCTTGTTTGGCGTTAATTTAAGTTCGTACGCATCAGCATTTTTTTTATCAGTTTAAATGGAATCAAACACACAGCGGCAAATCTGACACCGACGCTGCTAAGTGTCTCGTTCCGCGTGTCTCCCGTGCACCCCCCCCCAACCGGCACGATCACGTAGGCCGGCTCCCCCACTTGTTGTTCGCCACAATGTCCGACGTTTTGGGCCTCGTGCCGGGGATCTTCATCAGTGCGGGTACTGAAGACTTGGCTCTCAGTGCGAGTACATCCATGCAACGACAAGCAGGCGCTGGTCATCTCCACCGGCACCGCGGATTAATCAACCGGTCAAAGCTGACACGACTTCTCGGACATTTCCGGTGTTTCACGCCCCACGTGCCCGGGAGCATCTTCGGTTCACTTCCTGAAGCAGCTCCCCGGCACGTGAAGTGAAACGTCGGACAAAGTGCCGACAAACACGCCGCATGACCCGAACAACACGTCGGCGGCGGCGTGGAGCGGGGGTAAGGAGCATTGCCCCCCCCCCCCACCGCGATGCGCGTTGGGGCGCGCCTCCCGCTCGAACGCCGTTCCTTGGGCACCCCCATAAATCACCGCCGTGGCAGGAGCATGCGATGCGCCCACGAGCGAGGGGCACGCAGGCCCGGCGTGGTAACGGGAGGTGAATTCGCGTCTGTGGGCGCGCAACTGTCGCGCCGCTCGGCGCGCGGGCGGGCGGGCGGCGCCGTGACCCACCAAAGCGGTTGCTCGGTGCTGGTTTTATTGAGCCCGGCTGAGAGAGAGAAAGAGAGAGCGTGACCTCCGACCTGTCCCGCCCCCACCCCGCTCGTGTGGCCTCCTGGGAGTCTGGACGCTGGCGGTGGCGGCAGAGGAGCGAGTGGCTCGGCTATGTTGCCGTTGCTGCTCGAAGCTCAAGGCCGTTTGGTTGTGAGCAATGCCAGGCGGTATCATTCAAACGGTGAACCTCTCCACAAAATATAATCACTATTTACAGCTCTTTGTCAATCCCACAACTGGATGAAGGGGTCGTGGAGGGGGGTAGGAGCTCACAACCGGTCCAGATGTGGACCACCACTGGACAACAATAATAATAGCCAGCACCAACAATTGCCCAAGTTCTGTGATCCTCTATATATTACATGTGGGAGGAAACTGGAGCACCCAGAGATAAAGCACGCATGTGAGGGGGAAACACTCTATCCCATAAAAACGAAAAAGGTCACCATTTTGGCGATAACCAATGCATTCACCGGGAATCAAACTCGGATCTCCCATTTAATGGCACAATGTGTGAAACACACATCGGTCCACCGCCCTGTATAGCGTTCTTGAAATGAACAGCTTTTGCTCAATGTTTTACCTTCAGTAACGGTCAGATTGTAGCGCAGAATAGCCGAGCGCCGGCACCCGAACGCATCGCCGTGCGGCGCATTACCGGAGCAGTCTGATTGACCCATTGGCCTGGCGAGGCTGACAAGAGACAACCACATCAGGAACACCGCGGCGTCGGTGAGGGCTTAAATCTCAGCAAATAAATTGGAGCCCCAGAACAAAATCGGGGCGACGACTGGAGACGCTAACGTGCGGCGACATCGCCTGACAGGCCTTAGTACCAGCGCCCCCGCTCCCACGGCCGCGTAAATTTGGAATGCCGATCGGCAGGTGGATGGGAGGCAGCCGCAGGTAAAGGGACGAAAAACGAAAAGCTGGACGAGAAGGCTGCCTTTCGCGTCGGCTGCTCTCGGTGAGAGTTTGAAGAGGTGTCTTCGTCCGGGCCGTGGACGTTGTTGTCGGTCGAGACGTGTCGTGAGACAATGTGACTTTTGTGTTCGGCGGGATGCGGAGTTGATGAGCAGATGAGTTGATGAGGAGTAGATGAGTGGATGCCACGGGCCGCGTTAAACTCTGAAATATTTTCACGGGCATTGCTTCTAACGGCCCCTTCTCCCCCACCCCCCGCCCCCCCCCTTCCCCATCGTCCCTTCGTTGCCGCACCACCGCGTTTCATTTTGTCTCTTCTTCGTTCTCTCTCTTTTTCTGTTTTTCATGCCACAATCGCCTGCCGGCAGAGCGCTCGCACAGCGGTAAGGCCCGGCGACCCCCCCCCCCGTCCCCTTGCACTGCTCGCTTCCCGTGTCCCCCTCTTGAGTTTCTTGATGGATTTCGGCTGCCACCCTCTCTCTGGCAAGCGTAGTCGTGCATAGATGTTGTGATGCTTCCCAACGTACGCCGGTCCTCGGAACTACGTTGACGGGTAGCAGCTGTCAGGCCAAAACCCTTTTGGCATTGACCCTTTGATTGATTTGGTCCGGTTCTCCTACGGTTAGTCCCGAATAGGAACACAACTATATTGGAAAATGTCGTTCCTATCGGACCGTGTTCGTGAGAGATATCGCAACCCAAAACGACAGCGGCATAGGGAGACAGGCGGACAGGGCTTTGTTGGAAAACGTTAAAACATTGCTCGTCTTACAGTTCCAGTGCGGTAGTTAAGATGTTTGCAATTGCCAGTGCTTCAAAACTGCAGGAAGCAGTATATAAATTTCGCAAAAAGGTCTATTTACGACCCACGCGCTGCCACGATGATTTTTTGCCCATTTGGCTCGATGTTTTCAATTTACCAAAATATATCCCGGAGGAGCTCATAGTCATTTTAGACACAGACAAAGATCCCACGTATAGCTT